AGATCATGACCTGAGCTGAAGTCAGACACTTAACTGAGCCACCCCGGTACCTCCCCCACCCCAAAAAATTGTGATTTTAAAAATACATTTATTGAGGGGCGCCTAAGTGCTTCAGTCGGTTAAGTGTCCGACCCTTGATTTCTGTTCATGGGATCAAGCCCTGCATTAGGCTCTGGCTGACAGCATTGGAGCCAGCTTGAGATTTTCTCTCTCCCTCTCTCTGCTCCTCCCCCTGCTTGCTCTCTCTCAAAATAAAGAAATAAACATTTTTTTTAAGTTTAAAAAAAAAAACACATTAATTGAAATGCATTTTAGTTCTTAGTTTCTAAACACAGTGTCCTGTGACTCCCAGCCAGTTGGAGGAAGTTGAAATCTGAACCATCTGACCCCTGTTCTAGGTGCACCTGGCAGTTTGCTCAGTGGTTGTAGTAAATACAGTCAGGAAGCCTGTCACTTGTACCACGAAGAAGCCACCACAAAGAAACCACGGAGAGAAGTGTTGAGGGCATCTCCCAGGCTCTACCACTTTCTCTTGACACTTTTCATCCTTCTGAAAATCTTTATTTCTGCCATTTTTCGTGACCTCTCTGCCTTTAGTAGTGAGAGCTTTGTGCCAAGTCCTTTACACACTTGGTGCTCACTCAGTCCTTAACAACAGCCCACTTTACAGATGAGGTGTGGAGACTCGGATGTTCGAGAACCTGCTCCCAGCCGCTCGGTGGCTGCCCTTCCATTTGTGTTTTCTGGATCACTTGCTCTCTGTTTTTTTGTTTTTTTTTTTCTTTTTTCTTAGATTAAAAATCTTTTTTTCATGGGCCTTGCACTGGCACCAAAATTAAGAGGTGTGTCAGCTCCTAATGTAGGTAATTGGTAGAGTTTATTTTTACAGTCACACAGAAACCTTCAAATTGTGCCCACTGAACTCTGTTGTGGAGCCCTCTGTGTGGGTTAGCTCAGTGGTTACTTTGTAGCGTACTAAGTTCCCGGCTTTGGAGTGTTCACAAAGAGCCTAGATGACCATGTCTTAGGGTTTTTATGGAGAATTTGTGTGTGTGTGTGGGTGTTACCGGGGAGCCGGACATGATGCCGTGAGGGTTCCTCCGGGTCGGACGATTCTCTGATATGCACGAGCACCTGGCAGCTTCTGACGACGGGCGTGATGGGAACTTCACCTTTGTTACCTCTCCTCTTTCTCTTGCTTTGCTCAGAACACCTGGCAGGATGAGGCTGAAAAAGATTCGGTCGTCTGTTAAAAATTCCCAAATGTCAGCATTGGAAAGAATCTCGAGACCGTTGAGTTCAGTCCGCCGTTCAGCATCGGAGGGTGGGAGAGAGTGAGTGAATTTAATAGGGCCTCTCACGATTGCCCACAGAGCACACGGACTCCTGTGACTCTGTCCTAAAATGTTTTATCTACTGAAGGGAATATATGACGTAACTATTTAGTCATTCCAGCAGTGTGACTTTTAGTCTCGTTGTTGATCAGAAGTTTCAGCACTAAGAACGATGTCTAGCACTAGGAGGTATCTGGTACACACTGATGGAGTGATCTTCCCGACTCTCAAATCTTTGAGGGTTCGTAGCTGGTGAAATCACCGAGTGCTGTCCTGGCTGTGACATGAATGTGCTAAGTAAACACGCAGTGTTTAGTCGGTCAGAGCCTCAGATCAGCATGAAAAACCCAAAGCGATCGCCGAGATCTCTCCAACCCAGGATACACCTGGCCATGGGGGAGGCTTGGTGCCTGGTCTAGGAAACGCTTCCCGAGTGCTGCGGTTTCCTCTGCTTTCCTGCCCCCATAGTGGGCACCAGTGCCCTCCTTACACTTCTTCCCAACTTGACTGTACCTGACTCGTGGAGAAGCAGCCGGGAGACCCTAGGAACCAAGTTCATTCCGTTCAAACCCATGCATTTGATGATACGCCCCTCCGTTCATCATGCTCAAAAACTGCTGTGCCCTTCCTCCCACGTGCGAGCCCCACCCCCAGCCGCCGTTCCACTGGCGGCAAGCAGTCCGGCCTCTGCAGCCCGCCAGCTTCAGGGCTCTGCCGGCCCGAGGATTCATCCACCTGCGGTCAGGGAATCGGCAAGACTGTCAGGCTCTGTACAGAAGGGCTGCCGCGCTCGTTGTTCATAGACCGGATCTGAAACTCCTCGGGCTCGGCCCAGCCACGCTCGCCCCCTTCCCAAGCCCTTGGGTTATCGGTCCACCCGCCCCCGAGCTGCGGAGAGTCCTTCGTCTGCTTGCCTTACAGGTGACTGAACAAAAAAGCGGCTCTCGGCCCCGCCCTAGGCCTTCCAGGTGGGCTTCCCCGTGGCAGCGGCAGCACCCATTGATGGAGCAAGGAGACCCTTGGGGTGTGGCAGTGAGTGGTGCTGACTGACCGTGAGCTGGCCTCCCCCGGATCCCAGCGGGGTCTCTGTGCTGCTGCAAGGAGCCGATTGGGAGCAAGCTCACCCTCTTGTTATTCTTCTAGGAAGACGATGAGAAGCTAATTGAGGAGATCCAGAAGGAGGCTGAAGAAGAGCAGAAGAGAAAGAACGGAGGCAAGCGCTCCCCCGGCACGGGCCCCACGCCAGGCCCGGTCCGTGTGCACAGGGGCGGGGGGACCTCCACAGCTGGCCCTCGGGTGGCCGCGGACACGCTCTGCCCGGGCCCCAGCTGCTTGTGGGAACGTAGGAGGGTTCCCACGTGCCCTCGATCAGGGGGTGCCAAGGGTGGGTTTGGGCTTAGGAGGCAGACAGAAGGAACCCACGCCAGACCAAAAAGACGGTAGGCCCACCCTGGCCTCTCTGAGGTCACAAAGAGAAGAAAGGGAGTTTCTGGGAGTGGCCGTCCAGGCCCTAGCTCCGAAGGAAAGGCGCTCACAGAAGCTCCACTTGTTCTGAGCACAGTCGATCCTCCACCTTCCAGAGTGATCACCGAATCAACACTCACTCAGACAGCAGGGGCGGGAGGTGGATGTACACGTTAATCGGCCTTACTGTGGCCTGGCCACCCTCCCGTGTCCGCGGTAAGAGTGACGCTGAAGGTCAGATATTCCTGGCCTCGCCTCGTTCTCGAGGCCCTCAGCCTCCCGCTTGGGGCAGGCAGCATGGAGGTTGAGATGGGCAGGCCTGGCCCCGCCCCGCACACGGGCACCGTGGGTTTTCGTTGTCTCCTCTACTAAATCCCATTTCCTGTTCAGAGAACACCTTCAAACGCATCGGGCCCCCCTTGGAGAAGCCTCCAGAGAAAGTCCAGCGGATCGAAGCCCTGCCGAGGCCCGTCCCGCAGAACCTGCACCAGCCACAGATCCCACCCTACGCCTTCGTGCACCCACCCTTCCCTCTGCCGCCCGTCCGGCCCGTGTTCAACAACTTCCCCCTCAACATGGGCCCCGTCCCGGCGCCCTACGTGCCCCCCCTGCCCAACGTGCGCGTCAACTATGACTTCGCGCCCGTCCACGTGCCGCTGGAGCACAACCTGCCCATGCACTTCGGCCCCCAGCCACGGCGCCGCTTCTGACCGCCCGCGGCCTTGTCTCGTCCGGGGAGCCCGCCGCACTCCCGGGGCCGTGCCTGTCAAATAGGCATGATGGACCGGGCTCTCGGAAAGATGGGCTGGGTTTGTTCCTGCTCCTTCCTGGGAAGGGCCACTGCCCCCGGGCACCTGTAACAGGACCAGCCTGGCACTTACGGGGCCAAAGAGAAGGGGGCAGTGAAACCTCCCCAGAGTGTCCCACCGTGCCAGTGGCCAGTGCAGGGACCCTCCCCACCGGGCGGCCCATTTCTGCGGTTAGTCCTGGCCCTGCCGGGGCCAAGGTGGTGTCTGCCTCTGCCCCTCCCCCGGCCGACTGCAGAGTGTCTCCCCTAACCACGTAGGCCTTCCTGACCACAGCGCAGCCTGAAGCGTCGTAAAACTGACGCAGCAACTCCTACAGTTCGGAGAGAGCCAGGCCACCTGGACCATGTCCCGGAAGCCAGGCTCTCTTCTCCCTCCCCACCGTCACCCCCCACCCCAATACCACAGCCCACCCAGAGAGAGGTACGCCCTGCTGCTCCAAGCCACTTGGTCCCATCAAGTGGGGGCAGAGCCATCAGAGTCCCCGGGCCTGGGAGCACCGCTCAGGGTGGGGAGGCTGTGGGCCGTGTCCCCCCAAATCCAGAACCCCAGGCCACCACCACCGTGACTGTCCAGGGGTCTTTCTCCTTGGACCACTCAGTTGAGACCACAGAGAGCTGTCTCGTGCTGTCTGTTCTGTTTTGTAGTTTAAAATATTTGCCATTTACTCGCTTTGAACTTACTGGGTTTTCTGTGGCCTACTAGAGTTTCTCTCACTCAGTCTCTGGAGAGTCCAGTCTGTCACCCACACCAGGCGGCCGGTGAGGGCAGGACGGTCCTGACGCTCGCCAGACAGAACATCTTTATGAAGCAGCCCTGACAGGTTTGGTGGCCCTCCCGGGCAGCCCAACTGTCGGGAAGCCTCCTTTGCCACCAGCCCAGCAGTGAGCACCTTCTCCCTGAGGTCTGGTGGCGGCAATGGGTTTCAGCAGGGGGACAGACGACCCAGGCTACACCGGCACCCATCCTCGGAGCTGGCTCCGCCTGAGGCCAGCAGAGTCCAGCGTGGGGGCCCTGCCTGTTCACCTCTGGGCGCCACTTCCCACCCCGCCCGCGTGCAGAGACAGGCCCCTGTGGGGGGCGGCCCTGCCTGGCTCCCCAGTGTTGGTCTCTGTCGCCGTCACTATATCTCTGATGGCTTTGGGGTTCCCAGCGTGTGTGCACAGACCTCAGACAGCAGGGTGAGCCTAATGGCCGGTCCCCCATCTCCGTGCAGGCCGTGCCCCAGGGTCATCCACCGCCATCACTGTCTCCTGCATTTCAAGGGTTAAATTGGGGAGAAATCTGCTAAGTTGCCCATTCTTCCTCCTGCGCTTCCTCCAGGTGAGGGCTTCGCAGACCGTCATCGGGGCGCACGAGGAGAGGTCTGCGCCGCCGGGAGCCCCTGTCAGGCTGCCTCTGCCTTGCTGGTAGCCTGAACGACCGTGCCTTGGGAGAGCTGCGCCAAAGGTGACAGGTGACAGGATTGAAGTACCTTAAAAACATGTTCTCTGTGCATCCCCAAGGGAGGGTCTCAGAGCAGTGAGCTTCTAGCAGACATCCCACCAAATGGGGAGGGTGACCCCAGGACACACCAGAATGTTCTAGGCCCCCTGAGCCAATTCATCCAAGGAGGGAATGAGCCAGCCCCCCTGTGCCCTCTAGCCCAGGGAAGGGGGCTCCGGGTGGGTGGCCTGCCCCTGACACCGCCATCCAGCAAGTCCACCAGAACCTGGCATGGGAGGTGCTGGCACAGAGGGGGAGAGACCAGAATAACTGGTTCCTCCCAAGGCCAAGCAGGAAGTTGCTTTGAGATGAATTCTTGGCTGTTTGTCACCATATGCAGCTGTTAGGGATCCATTCCTGCTGTTCTGAACTGAGGGTGCCTGGTTTCTAACGTTCTCCTCGAGCTGGACTGTGGAGTGGCTCACCTGTCTGCAGGAGCCCGATTGGTGTTTGGGGGAAGGTCATTGCCACAAGTTCTGACACTAGCGTGAGTCCCCACCTGTCCGCGAAGTGTCCCTCTAGGTGCCTGTGTCCCCGAGGACCCCAGGTTTCTTGAGAAGCAGTCTGCACTAGTGATGGTTTGGGGGAAAGCAGGCCCTTATGACAGGCCGGCAAGTGGCTGCAAGGTGTGATGACAGGAAACCCCCAGGGGTCAGCCGGTCTCGGGGACAGGCAGGAATCCCAGAGGCAGCCTGACACCTCCCCTCTCTGGGCCACAGTGTTTGCTCCCCCAGACGAGAGACTGCCCGGCGACAGTCCCGTTCTACTTGCCTTAAACTGGAGAGAGGAATCTAGTATTTGCACTTAGCAAAAGATTTTAAAACTTTAAAAAAAAATGTGCATGACCTGTCACTTTGTATAAAAATAGCAAAAATGATTAGTTTATTAAATTCTTTTCTTTACCTTCCGGTAGTAAAAACACATAAAAAGAATTCTGTTTAAACTACTGTGTGTAAAAAGCTTGTACCATATGTAACTTCGACTTTTTGTAAATAAATGTTTGTGCATTATGTCCCCTCTGGTTTTGTCTGTTCACGTGGTGAAATCACAGGGGCTGCGTGGGCGGGTGGCAGGGTCCCGGGGAGTGTCCGGGTCTAGGGTGACACGGCTCCCCGCCCCTTGGGAGCTGACCTCCAGCTACCGCTGCAGATCTGCAGGGTGTGAGCCCAGAGTAGCGAGCCCGAGGCCCCGGCCCCACGTGGGGAAGGACCACTTCCTGCCCCCCCGCCCCTCCCCAGAAGGCAATGGGTGATGTCTCATGCTAACCTTGCTTGAGTGGCTGCGGAGGCCCAGTTGGGCACAAAGGGGTTGGTTGGTTGGTTTCTTGGCCCAGAATCCCCTTCCAGAAGACGTGCTCAGCCCCTCTTCCAGGCCTGGGCGACAAGCCACCCATTGACCTGGAGAGCCACCTGCACAAGTGAGACCAGGCGAAGGTTGGGTGAGGTGGGAGGAAGCTCGTCCTCCAGCACTGGGACACGACGTTATGAGACAGAACATCGAGGCAGGGAAGCTGGTTGACAGGGGCCACCTCCCCCACAAGTCCTCTGGAGCCACGTGCCTGTCCTAGCACCCCCCCCCCCCCCCCCCCCCCCCGCACCCACCACGTGCCAGGCCAGCAGACCTCAGCACACACGGGCTCAAACCGTGCTCAGTGATTTAATAAAATGTGAGCTCTGGGGCACCTGGTTGACACAGTCAGTTAACCATCTGACTTCAGCTCAGGTCATGATCTAGTGGTCGTTGAGTTCAAGCCCCGCGTCGGACTCTGTGCTGACGGCTCAAAGCCTGGAGCCTGCTTTGGATTCTGTGTCTGTGCTGACGGCTCAATTCTGTGTCTTCCTCTCTGTCCCTCCCCCACTTGCACTCTGTCTCAAGATAAACATCAAAAAAAATTATTTTAATGAAACATGGGCTAGGGGCGCCTGGGTGGCTCAGTCGTTTCAGCGTCCAACTCGGTTTCGGCTGAGGTCATGATCTGGTCGGTCCTGTCTGCCGTTTGCAACTTTACTGAGTGATACTTTTGGGGTTGTTTTTTGGTTTTGTTTGTTGTTTTGTTTTGTTTTGTTTTGCATCTCTGAAAAAAGTACACTGAAATCAACCCAAGACAAAAGTTACCTGCATTCCCAGCTTCTAAACAAGTTCATGCCACCCTGTCATCATTCATCATTCCAGTACATTTTCAGTATTGTTCGTACTTGGCAGCCACACCCTAGTCACAAACTGTCCCACACCCCCAGTAAAGAAAGGGGTAATGGTCATGCTCCCGTCTTCTGCCACCTTTTCCACCCTCCACCCTCGTCACCAGGGTCCTCTTGCTCCTCCCCACACTCCTGCCAGCACATTCCACTCCCACACCCACTTGCTCTGCCGCCCTGGTTGTTAACAAAATTGATCCCAAGGGACAGTCGGCTGGCCCAGTCAGTAGAGCACATGACTCTTGATCTCAAGGCCGTGAGTCTGAGCCCCACGTTGGGCATGGAGCCTACTTAATTTTTTTTTTTTTTTAAATGGGCCGCCTGGATGGCTTGGTTGGGTGTCTGACTCGATGTCAGCTCAGCTCTTGATCTCAGGGTTAAGTCCACGTTGGGCTCTGTAAAAAAAAAAAAATTTGGGGGCGCCTGGGTGGCGCAGTCGGTTAAGCGTCCGACTTCAGCCAGGTCACGATCTCGCGGTCCGTGAGTTCGAGCCCCGCGTCAGGCTCTGGGCTGATGGCTCGGAGCTTGGAGCCTGTTTCCGATGCTGTATCTCCCTCTCTCTCTGCCCCTCTCCCATTCATGCTCTGTTTCTCTCTGTCCCAAAAATAAAATAAAAAACGTTGAAAAAAAAATTTAAAAAAAAAAAAAAATTTTTTTTTCAGTGATTCCATACCGTTCACAGGACTTGATTTTCTCCTTTTCTAACCATGGAGTCCCCTCCAGATCTAACTGGGTCTTTGTACCGCCCGGATGGAAAATTCTGGGACTTCCAACTTCCTGCCACCACCGAACACCTCACTGAGCACCCCCTTTGATGTTTCAGTGGCTCTTCTTTCGAGGAGTAGCCTCGTGAACGAAAAGGTAAGATGGTGTGTATATTGCCGTGGCTTTTGCTAGATTGCTCTCCGGGTTCCTTAACCGAGCAGCCCCCACCCACCAGTCCCAGACGGTGTCCTCATCCTTCGTTGACACACCTTTGTCACCAGGGTCCCTGAACCCTCTCCTGGAATCTGACCTCAGGGAGGCACCCCTTGAATGCACACCTCTTTCTGCAAAGCGGACTGCTTTTTATTTAGGTTAGAAGCATTTGTAACTGTGAGGTCCAAACTTTCTTTTCCATCCTTGAAGTGATAGAGATGTATACACATTTGCCAATTACAGACGTTTCGAGATAGAAAAGAACTTGAAAAACACAGAAAAGTGTGAAGACGAAGACAAACATGC